GATTACACAATATTTCAATGCTGGCTGTAACATTATGATTGTTATCACCATAACATTTTATATTCCTAATAATTGTTTACTAGAATGTTTTCAAACCAGAGACAATTATAATAGCTGTATTTTATGCATCTGCTATTCTAATTTATATACATCAGGTATCAAAATGCATTGTCATTACATTGACACTAGATGAAACTATTCTGGTTATCAATTGTGCTAAATTTTTTTGTTAAATAACTTGACCCGCAATGATGAATTCTTTATCACATTCATGGTCCTGACTTGTCACCAGTCGTCCATCATGCTCTCTGATATGACTGGTGAAAAGTCMRCTTATAATCATTAAACCCTTGCTTATCACCAGTGCCATTTTAACTAATTTTTATGCAAGACAGGGATATCATCTAAGGTCCTGGTTAGATTGATCATTGCTAAATTGATTACTAAGCATSCCTGCTTACAGTTTGACAATAAATATTATTTTTAACGGTATTTATTWAAAAAATGTATTTTTATACCCCATGCATAGGAGGCACAAGACTTTGGGGGCCCAAGGAAAGAATTTTTTCGCTTATGCTTGGCAAAAATAAAAGAAACTTATTTTGATAATGGACTAAGAGAGCTAATGAGAGACAAGTATACCACAGTTGGAGTTATACTTGGWAGGTACCAACCATATTTATCCGTTCCAAAGAAATTGGGACTTGCTAAATGCAACAAAAAAAAGGCTGCATACTGATCCAACCCCCCCCCCCCCCAAACACACACACACACATTGTTTTGCCCAATGAAGTTCATCCACCCTTATTTTCTACTAAAGTTCGCTTAAGCATTAAATAAATACACTGTTTCGTGACAATCCCATTAAAAGAATTGATAACTGGAAGACAAAGATATATTAAGAAATTCACAAATACAAATCATTGTATCAAATTGTAGCTCTGAATAAAATCTTTGTTAAAGACTCTATACCAAGGCGACTGAAATAAATAAAACATTGTGAATGACTACAAACCTTAGACGCGAACAAGTTATTTAGTTTGTGACATCAAAAGTGCAAATTACTCACCCGTCATGTTAAGCCAGCAAGCAACTGGTAAGATTTTTGAAACAAATCTTTGTTCTCAATATTTTTTATTTTTACACATAATTTTTGTTTGTTCATGTAATATTAACTGACACAGTATTAATCAAGGCAGGCGAACTTCATTGTGCCACACAATGCCTGGGCAAAATAATCTTAATCATGAATTCATAGGATTACAAATACTGTATAACCACTGTTGATATTATTGTCAGTTGAGAATTTTCACTTTTAGATCTATAAAATCTTATGCCATGAAAGACGCATAGGAAGAGAAGTAAACAAAATTAAAATGTCCACAAAGTATTGCTAAAGTTTGGGCAGAGAAAAATTCTCAATTTTCATAGTAAYGTCATGTTATCATTATTYYTTATGATTATTSTTTAGAGTGTTGGCTATGATACTTTCTTTAATTTTTTGAAGGTCTTAGCATAATTCAAAATGGGCCTTTGCCAAGGTTCCTAAGCCTCGAGATCCTTGAAGAAGTTTTTGGGAATGAAAACCTGGGTCCTTGCCTACAAGAACTGYAAGATGGCCTAAAGAAGACTGGTATCCACCAGGTAACTTTAGGGATATTTGCACTTTTCAATTTCATTCAACATTTCTAGTCTATTGATGTCATGTATATGTCACCAAGTCATGTAATCATTTAAACAAAAATATTAAGAAGTCATTATTCTACCCCTGGTTTTTATAAATTTGATGTGATATTACATGAAGAATTTTTTGCATCTCTTACTGAAGGAAAAAAAGAAGTACTAAAAATACTTTCTTGGATCCCCTTGTTACACATATAGTTGTAATAAATCAAGTTATTGAAAAATTAGCCATTTGTCCATGTGCTTAAAGAAATTCTGGCCAGGAAAGCCTTTCTATTCATTCTATGACATTCTTTGTTGTTGTTTTTTAGGTTGGGAGTCAATTACCACTTTTCTTAYRTATTCTTAAACCAGGKCCCCCAAGCATTTTAACTGTAAGGAAATTGATTAGCCTACTGGAACCCCTATTCAGTGAGTCAGGGTCAAATAGAAGGGCACAGGAAAATGCTGTTTATGGTCAGTTTGTCAAGTATTTGAGAGAAGCTGCAAGTAAGTGACTGCTATGAAATAAAAATTCTGTTCATATGTAGTCGTAGAGCTATGTAACCTTCCTGTTATGCTATTTGGTATCTAAGTAGATTAATAAACTTGGTATTTCAAACTGGTTCACATTTAAAAACCAAAAATGATGATATTTGTTCTTAATTTTCTCTTTAAYGTATACAAACGTTTCCTTTAGTACTGAATAACTCGGACATGTATTTTAAGTATGAAGTCAGTCAGCCTCAACCCTGATGACATTTTTGTCCTTCACTTCCAAAATCCTTTTTGGTAGCTTCATTTATATATAGATATTTTCAAGGCATTTCAAGATGTGAATGTGAAAAAACTTTGAAGAGGATTGAGGTAGTTGAAGTATGGAATGTCATTAGGGTAAGGGGGTCTATGAATAAGATAGAATTTTTTTTCAGAGCTTACATTAATTTTTACAATTATGCTGAATTTATAAGGCTTTAAAGAATGATTGGTTAAAAGCCAGTTTAATTTCATGTCTATTGTTAAACAGTATGCATTACATTATTAGATAGATAGATAGATGCTTTATTTAGACACGGTAGATTCTTTTATAATTTTTTTAGATGTTTTCCCTTTTTTCATTTTTTTAAGTGGAAGAAGAAATGGTGTGACCCTGGCACATATCCTTAGGTTTACAACTGGAGCTGACGAGGAGCCAGTCTTGGGTTTCATAATTAAACCAAGCATATCATTTTTTGAGRCTGTGACATCGTTCCTTCCAACAGCAAATACATGCATATCATGTCTAAAGCTCCCCCGACCATCTCTTRCCCTGCCTTTGCCACCGACAACAAAGTTATTTGATTTGTATGATCTCGCTTTTTCTAATGCTTATTTCRGGAATGTTTAAATGCTTGTTTTGGAAATGATTGGAAAACTGCAATGATTTTTAATTGCCAWTATGATCAAATTTTATAGTCATGGCAGTCTTTAAATTATGACATGGGCAATTCAAAATATAATGATTTACAAAAGCTGAAGATGATTAGTTAATTTGCTTTGGTGGCCCTGATTGATGTAGTTACACTTTCAGAGAACAATAAAATTAATATTCAGAAGTTGAATTAATAATTAATTAATAATTGTAATTGTTAGCTCACTTGACTCAAGTGGGCAATGGTCTTTAGGAAAATGTCAATCCCATAGTTGCTACTGTGACATAAAGGGTTAATTGTAGCTTCCAATGCATGAACATTTTCAGTACTTAACTGAAATGTTGATTCAGGCACTGTCACGGTTTCCTGGTTGTCAATATTGTCCTCTTCTTCTACTGACAAAGGACCATCATATTCAATGCCATAATCTTGAAAGTTTTCCTGAAATATTAATCATGAAATGTTAATGTTAAATTTGTGACCTACATGCACCTTCTTAATTACTAATGTTGTAAGGGCGAATCCAGCCAACAAATATAGGGGGGCTTGACAAAATTTTGCTAGACACCAGTTAGGGGAGGAGGGGCTAGGATTCGAAATCATATAAGATTATTTTAGGCGCCCATGAAATGTGGGTGCAAAGGGAGTAAACGAGGCTGGAAAAGGGGGGGCTACAGCCCCACTTTGCCCCTCCCTCGATCCGCCCTTGTGTTGGACACTGTCTATCTTGTGTTTTCTAATGAGTTGAATGTTCCCACTTTCTTACCTGATAAGCTTGTGGTTACCATCAATGTGCCATAATGCATTTGGGCCACTGACAGTATAGACTCTTCTTTTGATAATCTTTCTCCACCTTTCCACAGTTCCTTCTGGATCAAGGAAACRCATTATACTTCGTAGTCGTTGCTGCTGTATCATGATTCCTTTCGCCCTTAAGCAACCTTGCATTATCCTGTATCCACTTCTTGGCCATDTAACTCTTATATCTCTGATAATGGTACAAAGGTCATCATCAGATATATCACTAAACGGCCTAGAAGACGCATTCGGCGTCTGATTGTTCGCACAGACACAGAAA